TATAGATGAACCCTTGAAGGCCAATTGTCGACTAAAGGTGCTGCTGGAGCGTGGGAAGTAAGGGAATCAACCCTACATTCAATTTTAAGGAGAATCAAGGCAAAATCAAGTTTACTCTTTACCTAATATCTTGTTTGAACTATGTTTTTACCAATTGATTTCGTTTTTGAGCTTGTTTCTGTTGTAATCATGAGCTAAAACTCATAACTTCTGTTTAGGTAGATGAATTTGTGAACATGGATTGATTATTTTGATTAGGATTAATTTTAATTGGTGATTATGTTTTATAAAGCTTGTTAAAGAACCTTATGTGTTAACAATAACTATTCTTCTGTTAATAAATGAGTAATTAAGTTGTATGAACATCTCTTAGTTATTCATTTCATATGATTTATTGTGACCACATAGTTGTATGTCTTTTCAAGCTAGCTTCACAAGTTGATCGCATATGTGTCGGATCACCACACACCTCAATTATTCCATTGAGCATTTGAAATCCAAATTTTGTAGCTATCTGAACTTTCTCTCTCCACCTTCGTTCTTTCAAAGCCTTCATGAAATTTCAAATTCCTCAAATCAAAATCCTTAACTAACAAATCGATTAATCAAAACTTCGTTACTTACCTTGCCGATAAGGATCTTGTTAATGAAGGGGGCGTAAACATTTGAGGTGTCGAGTAAGGTTACATTGGAGTCAATGGCGTGATAGGGGAGATTGATCATATCAGATTCCTCTTTCGGGTGTCCATGTCTCCCAGTCATACCTGTACAACCCAGTCCTTGTGCTGAAACAACTAGACCTCGTGAACATAATTTCAGTTTTGGCACCTCTGACACCATTGTCGTTTCTTGATAGATATTTGGTTAAACCTAATGAGAGAGTGTGTGTATGTCTAGTTTAGAGAGATAGAGATAGAGGTAGTGTGGGGCCCACTTTATTTATTAGTATTATATTAATATTAAAATAAAAAGATAAAGTTCTTAAGAAAATAAAAAAAAACAAATTAAAATGGTATATTAGTCGTTTTAAGTTTAATGATGATCACATCCACAAAGAAATATAGTCAAAAGGATCATTAAACCAAAAAAATCGGGGTTTAAACTAAAATAATAATAATAATAATAATAATAATAATAATAATAATACAAATTCTTGATTAAATATTGAACGTTTCAAAGAGTATACAAAAGAATGTTACAAATATCTTGTAACAAAAACCAAACGATTGTTTTTGTCGGAACCACAAAAATTCAGAATCTTCACATCTAGTTATAATCGAGAATCTACAATGAATCTTCATAAATTATTTAAAATTGTTATTTGGAGGATTATTCATCAAATATTATAACCGTTGAATCATGAAAAACAAGAATCTTTTCACAGCCGGATCTACCTGTAGAATCAAGAATCATCGCATCCAATTAGAATTGAGACTCATATATATCCCATCAATTAATTGATCTACCTCTCTCTTTCTCTCTCTCTATATATAAATGTATATCTACTTTGGAACCAAAATCCATGGATACATTCAGGTTTTCATCGACCGAAATTATTAAATTTAAATTTCTCTACGAAATGAAATGGGTGGTTGTTGTTCTTGTTTTCGTGGCACTAACTAGTTCTGCCGCCGCAGAAACATCCAGCAAACCACCACCTGCGTTGTCGCCTCCTCAGAGAGTGGGGTCAAAGATAAATACACCCATGGTAATAGTTCCGACATGCTTGTTAATTGCCTTTTTGTTAATTTTCCTTTTCTTCTTCTACTTCGGCTGCCACTATGTCGAGCATCAGCTCACCCTCGCCTCCACCATCATCAACGGCGGTGGAATGAGATCCATGAAGCTAGCGGCGGCATGCGGGCTTGACCCTGCAGTGATTGCCACATTCACAACTTTCACTTACTCCACCGTGAAAGAGATGAAAATAGGGCAACATGTGCTAGAATGTGCAGTGTGCTTAATTGAGTTTACAGATCACGAGGCCTTACGCTTGCTACCAGAATGCAACCACGTATTCCACCGAACCTGCATAGATGAGTGGTTGGCTTTACACGTCACTTGCCCGGTTTGTCGAGCCAGTCTAGTTCCAAAACCCAACCAACTCAGTCATGCGGAGCTGTGTTGTGGCCCAAACGGGCCTACTACAAATGGTCATGTTTCAATTAAAGTGTTTGATTTGAAACATAACCTTTCACCTGTTAGAAAATTTCCACGTTCATATTCAACTGGACATTTGATGATGGAACGACCTATTGAAGATGTCGAAAGATACACGTTAAGGTTATCAGAGGAGGCACAACATGTTCTCAAGAACTTAGTTGCCAATCCGTTAATGAGCCCCAATGTCTCAAATATAAAGGAAAGTAGTTTGAAAAAGAGTCTCAAGAGTGCAAGTGCAAATTTTGTTAGAGGATCGGATTACTTTGACTATGAGAGATTTGGGCAAGTAAGACAACAGAGTGAAAGGAATCTAGCGATAACAAGATCCCTTAACACACGTGGCGGCTCCAACGATGTTGAGGGTGAATTAATGACAAGTTCACAACGATTTATAATGTTTGTTAAGTCACCATTGAATCGTTTGTCTCAAATATCAAACAAGAACACCATCGATAAAAGCGAAAGATTAACCTTACGTCCAATTTGATATTTTTAGTTTCAATTGTTCTAGGGTAAAGAGGGTATTACGTCTATAGTAAATTTTGTGTCAAATTTGATATTGTTAAAAAATTAAAAAGTAAAATATTTAAGTGTAATAAAACTTGTACAGTAATATTTAGTATTCGACCTATATATAAGCAAACATTGTTTTTGTGGTATTTTAAGACAAAAGTAAAAGGCGTATTTTCATATTCAAAAAGAAATCCAAAATACTCACTAAAATTAAAATCCATAATGTATCTTATTTTCTTGTAATAATCGAAGCAAATATAAATTTAATGAATTTTATAATCAATTCGTCCTACACTTTGTGTTGAAATCCAATGCTTTCAAAAATTATTGAATTATATATGAGGGTCATGTCCGATTTATAGACTTATGTCTTATGGTCTAGAGGGGGCAGGCTACACACCCGAAAATGAATGCTTTCAAAAGTTATTTAAAAACATTATGTAAATTGATATATAATGTGAGTATTTAATAAAACCTTGAAAATGAATGCTTTCAAAAGTTATTTAAAAACATTATGTAAATTGATATATAATGTAAGTATTTAATAAAAGCTTAAAATTTCATCCACATGTCTAAGTTAGAATGATTTTATTGGTGAAATATATGATAATTTTTCAGTATTTTGGATTAGATTATGGTTTATTCTTAATTTTATTTTTTTAAACTGAAAACTCTCAGTAATTTTATATTTTGTTCAAATTAACAAATCAGTTATTATTTTTTTAACAAAAAATAACAGATTGTTATATAAATAAATAATCAGGACAATAGTATAGTTTGGTTTCTTTAGGTTTGTTTTCACATAATTTTTGCTAATGTTATATATTGATCCCTCTATAAATTTTGACCTTCTTTGGTGTCTTTGGATTTTTGTAACATCATTTTTGCTAATGTTATATTTTGAGTCCCTTGTTACATGTGTTCTACAAATTTAATATTTCTTTTAATTTTGATATTTCATTTGACTATTTTATCTGCTTACTCATCGGTTTTTCTCCTACATTTTTGATACATATGCTCTGAGTTTCGCTTTATAAAATGAACAAGTCAATAGAAATATGTCTTTTATTTTGTTGCATTTAAATCTTATTATTATTGACTAAATTCATTTATAAACATCATGACATTTACAAATTTCAATCAAGCATCCACAAATTTCTTTAAACTTATTTGAACCCGTATCAATTGCACGAGTTGATTGTAGTAGTTATGCTATAAATCTTCATGAGTTGTTAGATGTTATTGGCTTAATATTTCGGGATAATAAGTTAATAACTAACATGATAAATAATTAATGAGCCATGTGGCAGATCATAACTTTTTTTCATAAATTATTACAAACTAACCATCTATTTTACAAAAATGAATTTCATGGCATGAACGTATTTTTCCATTGTGTGTGAGTAGTCTTGTTATTTTCCTTATAAAAGTTATTTCTATTGACATATCAAAGTGGAGCTTTAATCTTTTAATTTTCAATCTTCTAGTTTTCTCAGTTATACCTTTTAAACAATTGGTTAAGGAAATGAACATTCTCAAATCCATTTTCACGGCAGAGAAAATATATAAGAGTAACTTTGTAGATAATCTTATCGATTTGATGGTTCAACTGATATACCAATATGAAAAAAAACACATGTCATAATTAATTTTAAAATGATAAATATAAAAAAAAAGACCATAATCGCCTCATAATTAATTTTGAACGTTTGGTGTAACTTCAAATCATAATAATTAAAACTTACAATATGTTCAGACTCCATAGACAATCCTTTTTCTAGGCATGGTTATAGATTTGCATCTACAAATTTCGGTTATCTTTTTAATTTTATCTAAAAAATATTTTTGAGTTTATCTTATAAAATATAAATAAGGTTAAATAAAGTTGATATGAAACGAATGTTTTTTCTTAATATAAATGTATTATCATGTATTTTAATGACTTTTTATATGAATTGAAATAATACGTTATTACCAACATATCTAATTGTATGTATTATAATATTAATATAAATTATAATTTGTATGTATATGATTGATAGGTGACATAATAACGTTTCACATGAAAGCTTAAAGCCCAAAACGAAATTAAAGTAGAAAGGGTAACATTTTAACCAAAGTATTGAAATGTCGCCTAAGGCCAATAAATGGCAATATTATTAGCTATTAATATGTTACACTAGATCCAAATCATCTAAGCTATAAATATTGTTTTTCAGGTTTTTTCCTATGAAAAAATATATTTTGTTATACTTTTAACTATCATTCAATTTAAGGTATATGGTGTTACTTTGTGTTAGTTCTTAGATTCCAATCTAATTCTAATGTTTAGGCAATTTGAACTTCTGGCCCATTGGCTTGGGGCTTGGGCTCTTGTACCTCCGTTTATTTGGACGGCAGACGCCAGACGGTGTATTCTTTCTAGTTGCTTCGACTGACCCTCTCAGAGTTGAGAGAAGGAAACTAGGGTTTTTAAGCATCTAATCAGGTAATCTCTTAGTATCAGTTTAATTTTGACTGTTTTGTAGTATGTTCGTTTCTTTTTTTTTTTTTTTGGAACTGGATTTCTGCTTCGTGTTTTTATGCAATCATATTCGAATTTGCCAAAAACTGAGGTTTTTTATCATCGAGTTATACATTTTGAAAGGCTTTGATTGAATTGGATATATGATCTGAAAGTATGAATCACGAATCTAGCGGATGATCGCGTATTATGTGGAAGATTTTCGTACAAAAACTGTCAGCTGTTATTATATTAGACATTTTGGCAGGGGTTTTGAGTAACTTGAACACAGGATTTTACTTTTTTATCGTGAATTTTTTGAATGTCGGACTGTAATTTTCAAATAGAGCTAGACTTGGATTTTCGTACTTGTTAATTCTAAACTTGATATTGATTTTGCTGTGAGATGAACACCAGATGTTGCTTGTTTTCATGTTTAATGTAGTTTTGAACCTCTGTTTCCTGAGAAGATAGGTTCATTCAGTTTTAATGTAAAAATGAATGTATGATTATGAGTCATGTTTAACACTCTTAGAAGTTAGAACACAGAGAAATGTTATCAGTTTTATCTTACTTTGGATCTAATAAGCAAAATATCATTCTCTTATATCTTCTTTCTGTTTTCCTAATCTTTCTTCTTCTGAAGGCTTCATAGTTATGGCCATCACAGGAGAGCATTCAGCAATTTCCCATTCTTCCATTTCTCTTCCCCAATATCATTCCCTAGCTTCAATCCAAGGGCATTATCGTCAACCTTGCTATAAACTTTCCCCCACACCTTCAACTTCAACCAACACTACCCATCTCTTTTCATTAAAAACCACACCAAATCTCTCTTTATACCGCCCAATTACCATCAAACACCACTCTAGAAACCGGTTTTCCGGCGTGGTAAGCCGCAGCGTGGTCCCGGAAAAGCCCCCCACCGCCCTATCTGTCGATTTTGTAGAACCAACCGAACTCCAAACCGACAGTAGCGGCGGTGGCGGTGGTGGTGGTGGTGAAGGAAGCGACAACAACTGGGGTGGTGGAAGCGGCGGTGGCGGTGGTGGAGAGGGTGGAGGAGCACCGGAAGAGAATCAAGAACCGAAAAAGATGGGCATGTCGATGTCTCAGAAGCTAACACTGGGGTATGCCGCCTTGGTTGGGTTGGGCGGTGTGATGGGGTTTTTGAAGAGCGGAAGCCAGAAATCTTTAATTTCCGGCGGGATATCGGCGGCTTTATTGCTGTTTGTTTACACACAGTTGCCGGTGAATCCTGTGTTTGCATCGTGTGTTGGACTTGGTTTGTCTGGTGCTCTTTTGGGAGTGATGGGAATGCGGTTTAAGAAGTCGGGTAAAGTTTTTCCGGCGGGTGTTGTGTCGGTGGTGTCATTTGTAATGACTGGAGGCTACTTACATGGTGTCATGCGCAGTTTTCATTAATGCTGTTTAAAACTTAAAGATTTGTAAGTTTATGTACTCAAGATTCTATTTTTTTTTTTTTTTTTTTTTTTTTGTATCTTTTGACTTTCTGTGTATTGACTTTTGAATAAAATGTTATACTGTAGTTTCTATTTCTTTTTACAGAATGGAAGTATAAATTCAGTAATATGTGTTTATATAACTTAACTAAAAGTGAGACTATTGGTCGATATAAATTTTTAATTTTGCAGTATACCAAAATAGCCAATAATTTTGCAGATATAAAAAATAGCCAATAAGTTTATTCAAACTACAGCAAAAAGATATTGGAAGGGCAATATAAATTTTTATATAGATAAGGACCAACCATGCAAAAATATAAAATCACAAGGACCGATGTGATGTTTTGCAACATTTTCCTTAAAGTGAGACTATTGGTCGATCGATTATAAAATTTTGTCTTATTTATAATTAAATATTATTCGGTTATATAAGTATTAATATAATTAGAGAAATATATACCAACTTAATTTTATTTAACGTTTTCTAAGATTCAAGCAAAAATTGAAGAGTTTATTAAAACAACTTCCAATTTTGCATATATTATTTGTGAAATTGTCAGAATATTTGCTAAACTATAACGTTAAAAAAACAATAGTAAATTTTTTTTTTGAATTTCAAAACCATTTTCATAAATCCATACGTCAATCAAATATTGTTTTTCAAAACATCAAAGACAAATCAAAATATCAATACATCTCTCCAAATATAAAAGTCCATGGGACGATGATGTCCACGATTATGCATTCATTTTCCCTCAATCCTCAAAAGTATCCGAGACATTGAAATCAATAATTGTAAGTCAAAGCTTAGTGAGTTCTCCAAAATACCACATAGAAAAAAACATACAAACACAATGCATGCAAGTATGAACCTTCAGCCTGCTTGGACCGTCTTGTAAAGCCTACAACATGTCTGGACCACTCTCCTAAATCTACAGTCTACTGGCTCCCCTTGTAAGGCCTATAGTAGCTGGACCGCTCATCTTGGGCCTATAATATCAACTGGACCGCCCGTGCTTCTTAACATTCATCACACAGTTAGAAAATTTATTTTTTGGACTCTTTTCTAAAGCAATCCATCTTAGTGAATTTTCACAGATAACATTTGAATCTCATATTAATATCTGCAAAATTATTGACTATTTTGGTATACTCTTTAGCTTAAAGTTTTAAATTGGTAAATGGAATTGTTATGTTTCTTTTTCTCATAAATTTACTTATAACTTAACTAAAAGTGATTATTAACAAAAGTACTTTATTCTTTTAACAAAAATTTTGATTACTTGCAGTAGGTTAACACGTATGTAGTGTTTATGTATCTATTCTTTTTATTGTTATATATATATATATATATATATATATATATATATATATATATATATATATATATATATATATATATATATATATATATATATATATACATATACTTTTAAAATATAAAGAAGAATGAAAAAATCAAAGAAAAAAAATTGAACCCAACCATAACCAAATTGATCATTCGGTTTGGTTTTCTATTCTAACAAATCACAATTTTCGGTGTCAGGGTTTGCAGTTCTCAAGCTTTTCGGTTTTGAAAATATTTAAGTGCAAATCAATTTAATCCTTAGCAATGTTTATAATTTTTACCCAATTTTGAACGGTCATATTATAGCTTTCTGTTTTAGCTACAATTTAGGAAAAAAAAAAAAAAACATGTAAATTAGTTAAGAAATAGATGGATTACACAACTCTAAACAAGGGTCATATATCTTTCCTAAAACGTCAACTAAAATAATAGTTAAATTGATTAAGAAATATTTTAGCTATACAGTTTAAACATTGGTTGTTAAGGTTGTTGGTTTTTTTTTTTTTTTTTAATCTCGTAAATTAAATCACTAGATAATCCGAAAAATATCACCTCAACATGTGAAAAATAGCAATGTACTTTATAAATTCGTCTCATTGCTGTTTTGGAACTGAAAAACCAGAACTGCATCGGAACCGAACTGGTATTTTTGGTTTGGTTTTCGGTTCTCTCTCTCTCTCTCTCTCTCTCTCTCTCTCTCTCTCTCTCTCTCTCTCTCTCTCTCTCTCTCTCTCTCTCTCTCTCATTTGGTGTTTTCAGTTCTATTCGATTTTGGAATCAATTTCTGTAATCAATTTCTAAATCTAACAATTACTTTATGTAGCATTTATAAAAAACTATTCAGTTTTTATAATCAATTTCTAGAATCGTGTTTTTATATAATTTTATATATTTCAAAAGATTTCAATTATTTCTGTCAAATGCTCATATAATAAATAAAAATTACAGATTCAACTACCAGCTATCCGTTACCACTCAAATGCTGTTAAAAGTATGTGCTCAACTTATCGTTGACCATTCATAATATTGTTTGAAAACAAAATGTATAGTTTATAAGTAGGTTTTGGTTGACGGTTTAGAATATTGTTTAAACAAAATGTATAGCTTATAAGTTAAAGAATGTGTATTCTAAAAATTGAGTATTATATTACAATAACTTATGTGTTTGTTAAACAATGTAAATATAGTAATATGAAAATCTAATTGAACTTTCTTATTTCAATATTAAATTTAAGAGTAAATTACGCGAATGGTCCCTGTGGTTTAGTGTAAATTACACACTTGGTCCCTAACTTATTTTTCTAACTCGGACTGTCCTCAACTTTTAATTATGTAACCCGCCACGTCCCTATTCTCACAGTCCGTCAATTGTTTCCGTTAGACACCCCACGTGCCTTGCACGTTAGGGGTATAAAAGTCTTTTCACATATCCAATGTTATACCGCCAAGAAAAAAAAGGACGTATCGTTGATCAACGTGATCAGACACAAGCTTCACAGACAAAACCTTTGAAAACCCTTTGAAAACCCTTGAAAACCCTTGATCGAAAGAACCCTACATTTGAAAACGACGATGGCGCCTTGGAGGATACGTGCTACCATGGACGAGATTGACGTTGCTCGTAGATATGGTAAGTGTTTACTCCCTCAATCAGTTAATAACTTAAAAAGAAAAATGTGACTAACCAATCTTTCCGTGAATATACAGCCGGACATCCGACGATATTCTCTGTCCGATTACACCATGGTGGACAGTTTACAAAGTTCCCTGGAAGAAAGTACATCAAAGGCAAGCAAAATTATGTTGATTTACTAGACATTGACACCTTTTCCATTCACGACATTGACGAGATGATGGAGGAACTTGGGCATATTGATTCAGACGAAACACTACTCTATTATCATTTCCTGAGACCATTTGGCGATTTGGATTTTGGGTTATTTGCTTTGGGTTCAGATCAGGATGTTCATCATCTGGGTACGTATGTTGCTAACCATAAGGTAATAGATGTATATATTGAGCATGGGAAAACAAATTTACATACTTATTCTATGTCCCCCAACCCTAGTAAGGTTAAAATTGTTGAAATTAAAGAGCCACCAGCTTGCTCCAAACAGTTGTTCTTGGAGTGGAATGACTCTCCAATTGAGCATGAGAGTGTTCCAGACCTAACAGAAGTTGAGAATGATAGTCATTTGGACAAAGAACCATCTTTGGTCGACCATATTGAATTTGAAATGAATGTAGAGAATGAGGATGATTATGATGGTAGTGGACACAACAATGGCAGTGGAAATGATGAGTTTGATGATGATAGTGAGAGTGAAGATAGTGATTTTTTTATTGATGAGGACAATCTCATACACGATGTTGATGTGGATATGAAAGATTTCCATATGAACATTGACAAGGATGTAGAATGGGTTGGAGGTTCTTCTGAAAGTAATGTACCTGAAGATACACAACAAGGTGACTTAGAAGTGATCAACACAGAGGTTTTGTTGTCTGGGTCTTCATCAGATGAGGCAAATGATGGTAAGCGAAGGAAAACTATTAGGGCCATACATAGGGCTTATGAAAATGATGCAGCTTTGGTTAGTGAGCCCTTCTACATTTTTCAAACTTTCAGTTCATCTAAGGACTTTAAGACACAAGTGAAACTACATTCCATAAGGACAAGAAGGGAAATACAATTAGAGAAAAATGATAAGAATAGGGTTAGGTTTGTGTGTAAGGGCACTATACCAAATCTTGCTACTAATGAAGAAGAGAAATGCCCATGGGTTATATATTGTAGTAAGTGGAAGCGTGACATAGATTGGATGGTTAAGACATACACGAAGGAGCATCGATGTCTACAAACAAGGAAAGTCAAAGCATGTGACTATAAGTTCCTTTCAGAGCATATAGTACAAGTTATTGAGACAAACCCAAAGATTCCTATTAGGGCTTTACGAGAGCAACTCCAACGTGAGTACCAGATGGACATTTCGCATATGAAAACTTTTAGGGCAAAGCAGCAAGCTTTAAAGCATGTTCAAGGAGATTATGCCAGCCAATACAGGTTGTTAAGGGATTATGTTTTAGAGGTACAAGCACGTAACCCAGATACTACGGTTAAAATTGATGTTGAAAGTGAAGCGAATCCAACTGTTGAGACAAGAACATTCAGGCGTATCTATGTTTGCATTGGAGCTTTGAAGCGAGGTTTTGCAGCGGGAAGAAGGGACTTTCTTGGACTTGATGGAGCCTTCGTGAAAGGTCCATATCCAGGCCAAGTTTTGTCTGCTGTGGTAAGATCTTCTTATTTCTTTTTGTATTGTATGTTCTTTATTTTAATTAGTGTTAACTGACCAATGTTTTCTGGTAATTTATGTTTCTTATCAAAGGCATTGGATGGTAATAATGGGATATATCCTTTAGCCTATGCTGTGGTTGAATCAGAAACATTGAATTCTTGGACTTGGTTTTTAAGTAATTTGGGTGATGACTTAGGTTTGGGAACAAATTCCAATTTCACGTTTATGAGTGACAGGCAAAAGGTATTGGAACCTATCCAAACTAGGTTTTATAGTTTTATACTATTGATGCAGTTATACTAACATACAAACATGTTACTATTGCTAGGGTTTGTTGCCTGCGATTGCAACACTATTTCCATGTGCAGAGCATCGCTATTGTCTTCGTCACATACACGACAACATGAAAAAGAACTGGAGGGGAAAGGTGTTCAAGGATCTTCTTTGGGAATGTGCCACGACCTCTAATGTACAACACTTTCATCAAGCAATGGAAAAACTAAAGAAGCTTAACAATGATGCTTATGAGTGGCTGAAACAAATACCTCCTCAAAGTTGGGCTCGCTCCCACTTTACTGGTATAATGACTTTCGATCTCTACTTAATAATTTTAAAAGAAGGTAAATTGAATACTGACATAGAATTTGTTTATGTTCAGGGAGAGCACATTGTGATGCTCTAACTAATAACTGTGTGAAGCATTCAACAGCAAGATAGAAGATGGTCGTGATGCACCAATTATTAACTGCATTGAGTTCATCAGAGAGTACATTATGAAGAAGATAGTCAAAGTTGACAAGGAAATTCAGAAAGTTGTAGGTCCTTTGACTCCTACAGCTACAACAATATTGGATAACATAAAGAGTAAGGCAGAACAGTATGTTGCAACATTTTGTGGTGCTGGAAAATATCAAGTTGCTGGACCATGGCAAGATCAGTGTATTGTGGATGTAGGTCAACAAAGTTGTACGTGCAAAAGGTGGGAATTAATAGGAATTCCGTGCAAACATGGTGTGGCTGCTATTTGGGACATGGGGAGGAATGACAAAGATGTGGGAATCCCAGAATCATTTGTGCATCCATGTTACTGGTTATCAAGCTGGAAAGAGATGTATTCTTTTAAGGTTAGTCCAATCAATGGAAGGTCCATGTGGGAGAAGTCAGCTATACCAACAACTCTGTTGCCTCCAAAACATCGTGTTCCTATAGGAAGACCAAAGAAGAAGAGAACAATATCAATTGTTGAAAAGGAGGACTTTGTTAGAGGAAACACAGCATCAAGGGCCCATAGATCAGTAACATGTACGAAGTGTAACAATGTTGGTCACAATGCAAGAACCTGCAAAGGGCAAAGACCAATTGTTGGTGGGGGTGGTGGACAATCACAAGTAAAAGGAAAAGGGAAAGGGAAGGCAACCACTTGATGGTTTGTAATAGGGCTAGTCTTTTGTTACTTTAAATATGAATGGATTGTGTTATGTTGCTGCTTGTAATAGGGCTAATATTTTGGTACATTATTTACTCTAGTTTGTAATAGGGGCAGTATTTTGATACTTGTTTTAGCCAATATGTTGGCACTTTTGGATGAACTAGTTTGTCACCCTCATTGCCCAGTAATAGTTTGGTACTAATTAATGGAATGTTTTCTTCTTATGATACACCATTGGGTAGATAATAATTTGGTTTATATTGATTTTTACATTTATATTTTCCATAATAGTTTGGTACAAAATTAGATTGTTATATTCTTCTTATGATGTCACCCTTATTGCCCTGTTATAGTTTGGTACTAATTAATGGTCAATATGTTGCTTATACATCACTTTAAAACATAATCAATACAACACTGCTACAACCATTACAGTACATTTGCATTACAATACATAGACAACCTAACCAATACATAACACCATTTTCATTGATCTTTAAAATCTTAACCATTTGCATTACAATACATAGACAACTTAACCATTACAGAAAAGGATACCTTCACATTCACTGCTACAACCTAACCATTATAGATAATGATACCATCACATACATTGCTACAACCTAACCATTACAGAAGACTTTACCATTACAATAACAACTCATCCCCACCTTACAACTTGTAAACAAGTATCACCAAGAACAATACCCAACTATTAAATAAACATATTTTCAAGAAAAGATTTTCATTTTTCAGCTTCTTGTTCAACCTCACAAGCCAGGAGATTGTCAATCTGTCACCATGATCCTTTTCATCATCATCTACCCAAGCAATAAATCCTTTACGTGGTTCCTGTCAATTTCAAAAGCCACAGTTACAATACCTATAATCGCATACAGTGATATCCCCATCTAGGGTTACGATTACAAAATTCTCAACTACAACATACCTTAATTGGACATGCGTAAAAGGGTCTTCCTGGATTATTGTTAGTAGTTGAAGTTCGAATTACAGCAGCACGCCCACAATCGCATTGAACCATCCTTGATTTGAAGGAGATTAGGTGTAACCGCTTCAAACGATGGAGGATTGAAAGAAACTACTCTAAATTAGGTTCGATCCTGATGAAAATTTAGTATTTGAAGATCGTTGGAAATGTGAAAAGACTTTTATACCCCTAACGTGCAAGGCACGTGGGGTGTCTAACGGAAACAATTGACGGACTGTGAGAATAGGGACGTGGCGGGTTACATAATTAAAAGTTGAGGACAGTCCGAGTTAGAAAAATAAGTTAGGGACCAAGTGTGTAATTTACACTAAACCACAGGGACCATTCGCGTAATTTACTCTAAATTTAATGATAGTGTCATAGAACTTCAGTTAATCAAGACATCTCATAAATGCACTATGAGTTGAAGTTATATGGGAGATCGACAACAAGACTACACTACTTCAAGAGTACTAGAGTAGATGGTGTATTACCCTTCATTTTCTTGTATCTAAACTCGCAATAGAAAAAACCAAAACCATATTTTTTGGGCGGGATACATGGTTATGAGATAAAGTATGGGATTTGTTCTAAAAATTTCATTCATATGAGATTTTTATTGAATTAGGGCAATACTCATCAGATTATCCATTCTATTTATATGATCTGAACCATTTATAACTTTATAACATATGTGTATAAAAATAAGGGCTATTTTTTTTGTTGTTCGTCCTGGACTTTTAAGAATATTTCATTTTTCAGGATCGACCATGCTTTATAATACTTATATTAATATTATTATTATTATTAACATATTTTTAAATTATATTATAGGATTACATGTAATGATAAACATATAGTTTCGTATGCAAATTATTATTTACATATTAGAATGAAGATTAATGAGTTTTAGTTATTCATGTTATTATTTGGATTGAGTGTTGATATTTTATCATGAAAATTAGATATTTAAATTTTATATATTGATGATTATATATTTTTATAATTTTTTAGATATTAAACTTGTTAACGTTGGTAGGAAATTGAAAGCAATGAAAAACCAAATCAATTTTTTGATGAGACTATGATCAGGTTTGGTAACGAAAATTCCAACGAGTAAAATAATCACAAATTGAAACCTCGGTATACATAGGTATACCTGTAAACATGATGGTTATTTACTTACCGTACGTCTAATGGGACAAGCTCCAGTTTGAAATACAATTTCATAATCAGATTGAGGCTGAAATTATAAATATTCATTTTAATCTCGTCCCATTGCTACCCCTTAACTACGATGATTATTTTTACATATTTCTTTTTAGATTAAAATGACAAGCTGCCTCTTGATACTTGTCATATTCTTGTTAAAACTAAAAGACATTTCTCCTTCCACTACAAGAAATCAAAGCATTAGCGGCGACGCATAGCAATAGCGGCGACATGTAAATGACGCGTTACATGTTGCCGCTAAAGGCGTCGCCGCTAATGCTTTGATTTAGCGATCCGCGTTATTTTCACCCCATCCGTCCGATTTTATTTTGATCTAACGGCTGTAGAGGAAAGCGGAAACGCGTGTTACCTTTTCCCTCCACATGTCGCCGCTAATGCCCTACTGTCGCCGCTATTGCCCTTGCGTCGCCGCTAAAACCGGTCGCCGCTAATACTAAACGCATATTACCCCTTCACAGGTTCCCTTTCTGCCATTTTCTTCCTTACCTTCCACCTTCTATCGTTTTCCTCTCTTTCTTTCTTCAATATCACGATTTTTTGACAAATTTGTGGAGTTCGAATTGCTTCTTGGACCGGTACTTGCCCCTCCTTCCCCCAAGACAGCCATAAACCGATGATATTTTTGCAAATTCCGAAATTGCCCCTCCTTCCCCCAAGTTCGAATTTCTCATATTTTTCTATGATTTTTCTGTTTTTGTGTTAATTAAGATGATAAAATGTGAGCATTTTTCAATTATATTGAGTGATTATGTTTGTATTTGAGATATGAAGTGGTTAATTATGCATTTTGTT